GACACCAGAAGTCGCATTCGAGCTGAAAATTTAATAATGACTTTGATTGCGATTTGAAGTCAAGGGTGTCAGGCAAATATCCTTGTTTGAAATTCTGGCTTTCTTAAAAGTTTACATTACTTACCAGATTTACCTTCTCTTTGTAACGTTTTTCCCTTTTTTCTGCATTTTCTGGCTGATTAAACCTTTTAAAATATTTCTGCACTCATTCCTTAGCGCAAAATTCCGCAATCGCACGCAAAAGTGAAAATGCCAGAGATTCACCTCCGTAACCCCTTCCCTTTTGTGCATTATTAATTTTCTTTGATAGCCAAATTTTTGTGGCTGACCAGGGGTATAAAAAATAATGATGGCCAAAGCGGGAGCGAAAATTCCAGGCTGCAGTCGCCAATAAATTAAGCTTTATGCGTGGCCAATAGAAAAAAAGAACGGGCTGCCACCTGAGTGTGGCCCACATATGCAAATTGTTGTGGCACTTGCACACACACACACAGACTGGCATTCAAGAATACATAAATTACATGCTTAAGCAACAAAGGGAAAATGGCAGGAAAAAGTTTCATAAAAATGTGTAAAAAATAAACTATTTTTCCAACGATTTGCATTGCATGAAAGGAACGCATAAAATGGAGCTAGCGAAGGGATTGGGGGCAAGGGGTTATATGGATATTGAAATAAAAATGGAGAAATGCAAGGAGGCGAATGCCGGCTGCGTCTGTGTGCGACTTTTTAGCATAAACTTGAAGATCTGGGCGACGACAGGGCGTATGCGTAATGCAAGTGGCATAAAGGTTGCCCATATCCCTCTAACCAAGGGCACTTTCCCTCTGACTTTCTGCCAGTCAACCTTTTGGCTTTATGAGGTGTGCCGTAAAATATGAAATGCTTTCTAGCAGATGCTTGGCAAACGGCAATGGGTAACAATGGCGGGTTTTGATTAAGAGTGACGTTTATGTGGAAAGCCGAGGTTTAAGTAATCAAGATTTTTTAGCCTTGCATAAAGTCAAATGTTCATTGCAATGGAAATAATTCCGAGTGGGAATACTATATAATAAGGATAAAATATATAAATGCCTTACTCTAATGATCTATAACTTCGAGTCAAGGCCAGAAACTGCGTAGAAACTTTTTATCGTTTTGTCCGGCAAAGATAAACTTTTAGAAGCAATAAAATATTGGCCAAGTGCAAATGCAAATTAAACTTTCACAAGTTTTGACCAATTAGGTAATCTTTCAGACTCAACGCTAACTAAATCTTTTTCGATTCGTCTTCAATGGTTAAAGTTTTTCTTAAATGTTTTAGCACTTTTAACTGGCACCTGTCGACACGGCCAACAAAAGGGGAAAAACGAGTGAGAAGAATATTCAAATCATTCGCTTAAATTTCACATCAATTACAAATAATTGCAACTTTGAACTATTATTTATTTGAAAACTTCCTAATTCAAGTGCCATTCATTTTAACGGTATTTACATTTTTTATTCACTTCTTTCACATTTTAATTGAGCCGCACTCTTCAACAATTGAGCTGAACAAGGTTTGGTTACTTGGTTGATTAAAATCAGCTTTGCGATTCTAATAAACCTGGTTGAATTGCGGCTTACAAAATGCACGTGCAAATAAAGAGCAATTCAATTTTATTAAGTGTTCTGAAGAGATTTAAATAAAATAGGTAAATCAAAAGGGTTTTTTAACGTTTTCAGTCATTTTTATGCATTTTACTTGTTTGGCTTTTAAATTGCCAATATAATGTTAAATAATTTCTTTAATAGATTGCTTATTTTAAAGAAAATTGTTCTAATTTTCTTCTTAGCATGTAATCTTGTTGGTCTGGCCAACTTACCATGCAGCTTGCTTTGTCATGTGTCAAATTGCATCAGCCAGCCCGGTTGGATATCCTGTCGGCTGCTGCGAGGTGCCACATCAATCAGGCTGCAACTTCACCAACTGGACTCTGAGATCCAAAGAAGATGAAGAAAGGCGGATGGAACAGCTGCTGCCATTGTCTATTTGCCGGATTGCATTTTTCAGCAAACTTAATTAATTCTCCCACTCAGGACGGGCCTCTTAATAACAGCAATAATAATAGTAATGGGTCATGATGAGACAGCAGCAGCAGCGGTTGGCAGTGGCTCATTGAATTGGCAGGGCCATAAATTGCATCGACCGTTTGATTTATGGCCAACAGCCATGTGCAAGGCAGCCAGTGCCTCGGATTCGCCGGCCAGGGCCTCCTCCTAATTTGGCACTTAAATGCAAGGACGTGCGTGGGCCGCCGACTCACGAGCTGACTTATGTATGTCCAAGTTTACACTCCCACCATCCCTTTTGCCCCATAACGCCATGGGTCTTCCCGATTTTAACCGCTTTTCCGGCTCCTGTGTAGGCATATGCACACGTCCTTGCTAGCGATTCCCATCACGCGCCGCAAAATGGCGTTACGTGTTTGCCGCCTCCGATACTCCGGTGACTGAAGTCCTCCGCCTCATCGCCATCTTTCGACTCCCGTGCGAATTAAGCGGATCAGTGGTGGCAACACTTTTCTGAAGAGGCATCTTAATCTGACAGAATAAAATATTAACACAAAAATTGAATAACTTTATATTGAGAGAATTTTCTAAATAACATTTTCTTTAACATTAACTTTCCGATTATTTTTATGACAATTTTAGTGGCATTTTAAAAAATGAGATTTTAATCAGTAAAAATGTAGAATTGCACCACAAAATAGTTCAGAATTATCTTTCAAAATCATGTCAATATCTCATTTTTAAAAAAACCAGCCAAAACAATTTGATTATTTATTAATTTTCAATAATCACTGAACTCAAAATTACAAGCGAGAGTACCTGCAACATAAAAATTTAATATTTAAATATTTTTTGAAAAAAAGTAGCAACGCTGTCCATTTTCCCACACCCCCCTGAAACCCCTTTTAACCACTGCCACTGTGCTCCGGGCATATTCAATAATTGGCGCCTCTGGTTGTGTGGGCTCTCTGTGTGCAGTGTGCGATGGTATGGGTGCTCATAGTTTGACGTGCCGCCGGAAAGGATGGTGCATTAAATTCCGCGCGTTACACATCAGCGCAGGCTCTACAAATTACTGCGAAAATTGATTCACAGTTGAGAAGCGAAAAACAAGAAAAACATCAGCTAACGAAAAAATCATTGATAGTTATGCCTGTGTGGCTTTTTCACACGTTTGCCGCGACTATTTGATGGTGCATCTGGTGTTTTTGTGTGAATTTGTGCATTTGGCGCTCGTTAAAATTGATTCAGTTTATGATATTTGTTCTTAGGAACTTAAAAGAACTGCATATTCCCTGCAAAAAAATATTATATAAATAAAATATTGGCTTTAATACATTTGATAAAGAGTGCATATATCAACAAAGATAAGTTGTCAAATTATAAATCGAACGATTTTCCGATTTAACCATTAATTGCATAAATAAAAAATATTAAAATATTTTTAATAAACTTAATAACTTAACTATAAAGTGCATTATTATTGTGAAAATATTTATAATTGATTATAATTCGATAATAAGATTAATAATTATCAGGAGATTAATTTATCTATTTCTGTTCAATATTTATTTAAAATCAGTAGTTGATAAAATGAATGCAATAACATCAGGAAAAGTGTACAAATTGCTGTAGCTTGCCCATGCAATTATATTTGTGGAGCATTACCATATTTTACTGAAATAAATCTAACATAAAATGCGAGCTAAATTCGTTTTATTTTTATTCAAAAATTGTTTATGCTTGGGCGTCCTTATTCAATTTACATCTAGCTAAATTTAGAAATTTTCCCCGGTTCCAATTGAGCTTCGTAAGCGTTACTTGCACTTTAATGAACTGCCAATTGCGCGATGTTCACTGCTCACTACTCCTCCAATTGGATTTTAGCTTTGGTTTTTCCCTTTTTTTTGCCTGTTCTTATTTTTGTTGCTTTTTTTTTTGCCTTCACTCTAATTGAATTGTTCGCCGGTGCAATTTAATTTCTGCGCAAAGGCAAAAACAAAAGCATGCACTCTGGGGCAAAAAAGGGTAAGAACTGCGGAAGGGACGGGGGCGACTCTGAACCGGTTTGCAGACTGTTGCAAGGTCACGCGGGGGGCGTGGCAGGGGGGCAGTGGCGGATGCAGAAGTAACAAGTGTTTTTGGGCTGCCGGCAAAAAGGAAACGGCAATGAGAAAAACGCGAAAGGTAGCAGATGCGTGAAATGATCGCCCCAACAAGATGAAGCAGTGGAGTACAAACAATTTTTTAAAAGGGTTTATTTTTTCAGAATTTTATAAGCACTTCTTGCTGGAATTTAATTAGATTGGAATTTAATTGATACAGATTTCCATAGCCGCCCATTTTTTATAATTTTCATTTAAGACTTTTTTGCCCAAGGGGTTAAAAAAATTCAGAGAGAACGAGCAATTCGAAACAAACTGCAAGAGCGGCATGTATAATACCTTAGGATGGCCATAAATGTTTATTTTTATTAACGTAAATATTCCCAGTTTTCTCCCCAATAAAACCATCAGTCTTCTCACACCACAGCCACCGATATTGCTCTCCATTCTCATGACGTTCCATACACCAGGCAAAAAAATAAATTAAAATTTCGGTAGATGATAATAATATTATCATAAAAGATATAAATAAAATATTTTTTAGAAACCTTATCATTTAAATTTATGTGTTATATTTTTTCAGATTTCTATAAAGTATATAAGTGTTCTTTAAAAATTCCAAAAAAAATATTTAAGATTTATAAAAAGACTAAAAACTAAATAAATTCATTATGAAAACAGAATATTCCATTTATTCTCAAAGTATCAAATTTTTTTCGCTGGTGTAAGCGAAGGGTTTAGAAAACGAAGGCGAGCGCATAAAAAAGAAATAACAGTGCGAAACAAAACAAAATAAAACAAAACAAAGTGAAAACCGAAAGAAGAGGCTAATTGAAGAGATCGAAGGCAGAGAACGCCGTTCGAATGGCATCGGTATCAGTCCAAATCGAATCGTTGCCGCGACAGCAACTCTTCCCGAAGAAGCTGGAAAAATATCGAAATAAGTGTATATAGAGAGATTGGGCCGAGATCGAGCGAGAAAAACGACATTGACATTCAAGCGGGCGCGCTAATTGATCGAAAGAGCCCCTTAACGCCCGGGTCAAGTGCTCTCAATTGGAAGTGTCAGGTGGCAGAATGGGGCATCTGCTCCGGATTCCGATTCCCATTCCAATTCCAATTCCGCTGCTATTGTTGTTTTTCGGATCTGTCGTTTGGCCGGTTTTCGCCAGATCCGAAGACCAGACCACCGTCTGTGGATCGCTGGAGATAAATGAGATTGCGGACTTCCGGAAACTGCAGAACTGTACGCATGTGGAGGGTCACATACGGTTGGCCTATGTGGATTTGACCGCTGCAGCCGGCAATTATATCATCGAATCGCTGGCCAGCAATGTCACCGAAATCAGTGATTATCTAATGGTGTACAGGTGCACCGGGCTGATCACCCTTCAGTCGATATTCCCCCGACTGCAGATCATTCGGGGACACTCCCTTCTGTTCGATGAGTACTCCCTGGTGGCCTACGAGAATCGGAACCTCAGGGAACTTGGTCTCGTGGAGCTGCTGCGCATCCAGAAGGGCTCCATTCGCATCGAATCTAACCCCTTGCTGTGCTTCGTGGAAACCGTCGATTGGCTCTACCTAATGGGCAATTCTACTCAGCAGCACTATTCCCTAAAAGTGAGTTCATATAAATCAGCATATTTATTGGTGCCCCAGAAAAGGTAAACAAACTAATTGAAAGATTTGTTTAAATGTGTGTCATCTTTTTTTTATACCTACTTATACAGAGTTTACAAAAATATTTGTGTTGATTTGAATAAAGCTTTTGTTTACTTTAGCGGCTTGAAAAGGAAAATGTTGTTGTTTTTATGTTTTATTTTTTATTTGTTTGTTTTTCATTCTTTTTAATGCTACAAGTATAGATATATATTTTAAAATTAGTCCACTCGGCATAAATAGTAAATCAAATAACTTACTCAAAATAGGAAAAAAAACTCTTTTTTAATCACTTCTAGCAAAGAAAATATTTGAATTTGAATACCACAGCTAGTTCTTAGCTTTTGTTTAATTTTTCCAACATTATAAGACCTCTGTTTTTTCCATAGCACAACAGGCCGCAGAGCCAGTGTCCTTTGTGTGACAGCCTGTCATCGGATTTCGATTCGGTTAAGAACTCCTCGGAGCATTGCTGGAACGTGAACACCGCGCAACTTCGTCTCCTGCCACCGCGCTCCAAGGACTGCCCCAAGGCCTGTGGACAAAATGGATGCGATGAAGCGGGAAAATGCTGTGATCACAACTGCGTCACTGGGTGCTACACCCAAGGTTGCTCCCTGTGTGGAAATTATCAGGGAAAATGGGGCTGTGTGAATCAGTGTCTCATGAGTTTCGAAATAAACAAAAGGAGGTGCATTAACAACAGGGAGTGCCGGGAACTGGGAAGGATTCCCTTGGTTCGTGGCTACCAGTGCGTAAAGAAGTGTCCTGGAAATCAGAAAAAGGTCCTGGACACTAAGGGAATGGCCCATTGCCAGGTGGAGTGCAAGGGCGATTTCCATATCAAGGTGGCTGCAGACTTGGAGTCTCTGCAGGATTGTGTGACCATCAATGGTTCACTGACCATCGAGCTGACAAATATTAAGGGTAAATAATAATGATGGACTAGTAAATTCCAATTTATAATTATTATTTCTTGCAGAGAAAATAGTAGAAGCCTTGGAAAATGCTTTGGTTAGTGTTAAAGAGATCACTGGCTATCTGAAAGTAATACACTCCGCACAGCTGATGTCACTCACATTTCTGCAGAATTTAGATGCCATAAGAGGGGATAAGCTGGTGGAAAACAGGTGGGTTTCTTACTAGATTTAATACCATTTTAATATACATTTAAATTGTTCTTTCAGGTACGCCCTCTATGTGGTCAACAACTACCACCTGGAGCACATTTGGCCACCCAATCACCAGGTGATCATTCAGCGCGGCATGCTCTTCTTCCACCTGAATCCCCGTTTGTGCTACGAAAAGGTCCACCAGTTGCAGAGCTCCCTGAAGAGCGGGGAGAACATATCTGTGGCCGATGTATCGCCCAATTCGAACGGCGAACGCGTGATTTGTGGCGACGGAGTGCGCTCCCTCACGCCCAAAGTGGAGGATTTAAATTCCACTGCGGTACGCATTATCCTGGACTACATGGACTGGGAGGGCATGGAAACGCTGATAGGATATTCGTATTACTACAAGGAAGCCCCGCTGCAGAACGTGACTATGTACGATGGTCGGCATGGTTGCGGTCATGACAAGTGGGTGAGCAATTCCCCTCGTTCCAAATTGATCTATAGGTTTTCCCTATAATATTTTTTAGCTGGCTCATGGATGTTTCGCCCAACAAGAGTCGACGTCATGTTATAAGCGGCCTGAAGCCCTATACACAGTATGCGTATTTCGTGAAGACCCTCACCAGAACCGAATACCATATTCAGATGGACGCCTACTCGAAAATCGGTTACTTTCAAACGCTGCCCGATAGGCCAAGTCCCGTGGTCCGTATATATGGTAGCTCGGTAACTACCTCCCAAATTGTAAGTATATCTTTAGTAACCATTATGTACATTAATCCTATTTCTTAATAGGTTTTGCATTGGTGGTCACCGAGTCGTCCGAATGGTGTGATTTCGAAATATTTCGTCTATTCCGAGAAGCACAATGTCACCAAGGGGGAAAAGGAGAAAAACTATTTGATTTCGGAGGCATCAAATATCAAGGATCTGGACTGTGAGTGCATAGATGTGCAGCCGTACGACTCGGGTCCTCAGCCGGATGACGAGGATTACTACAACAAGGAGCAAATCACCTATGAAGATGCGCTGCCCAATCTCATTTACGTTTCGTAAGTCTTAGAAAGAAAACCAAATTCGATTTCTTAGTAAATTTATTGCTATTTCCCTTAGACGCTTTTACGACTATCGCCGAAGGGAATTCGAAAAGGTGATAAACTACGAGCATATGTTGTCCCTAAAGAAGGAGGAGGAGCCCGTCACTCCGGCGCCAACCACTCCAGCGCCCACAAACGAAACCATCGAGAAGGACAAGGCGGACGCACTGACCTACGAGAAATTCCGACTGAACAGTGAGCAGAAGATGAGGGACCAACAGGACGTGGGCAGGGAAAGGTACAATATCCGTCATGCCCTGCCCAAATGCCAGAACTCACACGCCTCGGTGGTCCAGCAAGTGGAGGACAAATGCATCGTCGAGGAGCCCATGACTGGCATCGAGGTGCCGGCCGGTCAGCATTCCTACACCCTGGCCCAACTGGAACCGGACACCGTTTACCGGATCTCAGTACGGGCCTGTGTCAACGGCGTGGTCAACGGGTGCTCCACTCCGGCGGAAACTCAGATCAAGACTGCCAGCCTGCGAAAGGAGCGATCAATAGTTTAGTTTACCGATCAAAACCGATTTGTGTTAGCTGACAAGTGATAAATGCTAGACCCATATGACAGTAGGCCATGTGAAGAACTTGACGATGTGATCTGAAACCTTTAGGGAAACCCAAAATTTATCAAAGTATTCGATTTTGAAAATTTGACAAAGGTTATTAATCCTACAATTTCCTGTTCAATTAATTTATTTTTAAAATTTTTGCTGTTTTAGTATTTTATAGGTTTTATTTTGTGTTTACATATTTTCCTTCGTCCCTTCTTTGTTATTTTACAATGATGACTGATTTACCTTTTTATTTTTTGGTTTCAAGAATTGTAATCCCAGCTTCAAGCTCACATCTTAGTGCCTCGTCATATGGGCCCAACTAAGTATTGTAAGTCAAGTGACTGTAGTTGCCTTAATGTTCCTCGCAATGTATTGTAAATGTGTAAATGCCAAACAAATCCTCGACAAGCGACAAAATGTTTTCATCAATCTATGCTAATTTGACTTATCAGCTCGCCGGGATTAGTGTGGGGAAAACCGAAAGCGCTCAAAGGGAAAATCCCGCAGTGACAGCCGTGATTCTTGAGACTCTCAACTTGGCCCGGAAAGCGGTTACCTTGCTCAAGATTGGCTCTGGCATAAGCCTAGGCCAAAACTAACGACAGGCGGCAGCCGGGAACTTCCAACGCATGCCACTTAATATGCAAATGTGCCGCAAAAGAGCTTTAAACTTTAAAACACTGAAAAAACCAGAACTAATCCCCGCCCACTAAAATGTGGGAGCAAAAGGGGACAAGTCGAGACGATGCTTTTGATTTTGCTTTCGAGCGGAGTCAAGTCGAGTACGTGTCATGTGTCGCCTTGTTTGTGGCCAAGTTTTCGGCGCAGCTGGAAAAGTTCCATGAAAACGTGTCCCACTCAATGGGGAAAAGCGGTTCGTGATTGACGCAGGATCGAGGGGAGAGGGGGTGTGGAAAACGCGGAAGGGGGAGAAGGGTCTTTCAGAGTGCCTGCAGTGGAAAAGGATTTCAATTCTGCCGCTGACACTGACGCGCAATTTAACTACCTTAGACGAAGGCGAGGTCGCGAGCAAAGTACTTCAAGGGGTTACCTGCCGACTATCCCTTTTCGAACTCTTGCAGCTGCACTGAAAGAAATTGTTCTATTATAAGAAATAAAATCGAAAAAAAACTGGAAAACAAGAAAATTATTAAAGAATATGTTTCGGTGTTTGAGAAAACATGGAAATGATATAAATATTATCATATAAGTGTTGTAATACTTTTAACTATTTCGCTACAATTTACTTACAATTTATTTTATTTAAAAAAAAACTTCTTTTATTAAAGCTATAATATAACATTCAAAATTTTATTATAAATAGATTTAAAATATGAGGATTTATTTTCCATTATTGATTTAAAGTAAGGCTCTTTCCTTCAGTGAATTTCTTACCTGCTGACTAACCCCATTCATTTTACTTAGAGTTTGACAAGCTTGGAACAACTAATCTCTTATTCAATATTTGATGTAGCCCATTTAAATCAACTGGCTGGACTTAAAGCGAAATGCGAGCCAACTGAAAACCACTTATCCCACATCCTTTGGCGCCATCTTTAAGTGCCATCCTGTTGGTCCTCGGGGTGGTGGAAGTGGGAAGAGATATGGGGCTGTGTGTGATCTTATCCTAAACCAATTGTATTTCAATATTTCACTGTCGTCTCCCTTCGCCTTTACTGTTGCGCCATTTTTCGCGTTATTTCCGTAGCCACAATCGCAGTTGTAGCAGCAGATGTAGCTGTGGTCGTAGACGTAGTCCTTGCCGTGTTGCCTCGTTATCCTTGCACTCGTTTGTTATCTATGCACTTGCCAGGCCAAGCACTTTGGGTGCGGTTCGGCGATGTCAGTGCGTCAGTTTCGCAGTCCCCCTTCCGTCCTTCGGTCCGTTCGCCAATCAGTCAGTTAGTCAGTCGGACAATATAACAGTGCACAATGTCTATGACCAGGGATGCTCAATATGTTTTGCCAAAAAGGCACTTCAGAATGTGTCGAATAATAATATTTATTAAATGTTAATGTTAAGTTAACTAATATTGTTGGGTTTTATTCTTAATTTATAAATATGAAATTTTACATTCAAGTTAAAGATTTAAATTTAAAAGTCAGTAATAATATAGATTCTATACATCCACCCCCAGTTACTATCGAAATACTATATTGAGATTAGAGGGGAATACATACCTACTTAATTACAGGTCTTACAAATAAAATATTGGTGATCTAATTTTGTTTAAATTCTAGGTTTATCCATATTTGGCCTGAAAGCCGCTAGGATGGCATTTTCGTCATGTGTGCGCTCTTCAATTGTCCTTGCCCCAACTGGGGAAACGAAAGTGTCTGCATCACCTTCAACATCGACGCATTAAACTCTCCGTTTTCGGATTTGGTATAGGTAGGTCTGTGTAAGTCGTGGGTTAGTGCGTTCAGTTTGTGAACGGTAATGGTAATGATGTGCACTAGTTTGGTTCAGAGGGATTGATATGTACTTACACCTGGAGAGCTTGTGGGAGTGTGTGCCTACGGTAGCCCATAAATCGTTCCTCGAACTATAGTTCCCTATAGGGGAAATCTATTTAGAGTAGATAAGCCAGTTCCACACAATGAATAACAATTTTTTTGGCACATTGATACGGCACATTGATATAACTATCCGATTAAAACTCAGACTTTGAGCGTTTCAAATAGTCCTTAAAATTTGCTTGTAATCTTTGTGCGGAATCCATTTTCCCATTGCAAATGCATTTGATTCGAGGCCATTTGAGAAAGGTCAATTTCTTTTACTGGGCCATATTTGAAACCTTTCGATAATCCCCAACCTACTTAGCCCCGATCCCTCCGCAGACACAACTGTACCCCATCTTCGGGTCAGCAGTTCGTCAGCTTCGAAATGCACGACTCGCACACACAATTGTCCTTTTCAATGACCATTGCCATTGCTTTGTTATCCTGTCGTATTGTCTGGCTTTAGTCACATTACAAATCCAATTGCCAATGCGAGATAAATGCGCCCGGATAATATGAACTGGCATGTGTGGGAAACGGTCACTTAGTCCACAAGGACATGCACTAAGTGACAGCCGGAGAGAAAGTGCGGCGATGTTGGGGGCCAGTTGGGGGGACTGGAAGCAGCTGATTTTAATTTTAGTTAAATCAAAATGTGCTGAGGCAGGAACCAAGTTTATTGGCCAGGACCAACTCGGGCACGGGTACTCAAAGGACTTCCATCCGACACGTCTGCACTCTCACTCGGTTGGCCCCAATTCGTTTGCGCATCCTTTTCTTTCTTTCACTGGAAAAAAATACAATTTTAAAAATTATATTAAAGGTTTATAGTATTATTTTAAAAAGTAATGTTGGTGCTTTAAATTTTAATATGCTCTTGTGTGATTATAAACAATTTTTTAAATTAATTTTATTTCATAATTTCAGTTTATTTCTATTAAAAATGTTTTTCCTAACAAATCTGAAAGGATACTTATTTTTTTGCCGTGCTATTTGTTCCAAACCACTAAAAGGCAACGAGGCTCTGGCTTTGCGTGGCTTTTGGCCTGACTGCTCGACATGTGTTTGGCTTGCCTGGGTTTCATAAATAATGCACAGCGCTGAAAATAGTTTTTACTCAGGCCCAAAACTTTTCCCTGGGTAACGTTCTATTAAAAGTCGAGCATGAAGCCAATCAGATGTCAGATAGTTAGTTTTTCACTTAATTGTTCTAGGAATTATTTATCTCCGCCAAGCATTTGTCAATTGGTTGTGAATAAATAACCACCAACTACACGACCTAAGTAGCCTCCTTGTGTGTGTGTGTGTGACATAAGTGAATTCAATTTGTCGATTTTTTGGGTCATTATTTTGTATGGATAGGCATGCCATAGCCTACAGGTCCTCCGACATTCTCTGCGTCGGGTTCAACAGGGTTTAACAATGAACAGTCATTGCTCCACTTTGTGCGCTAAACGATTTCGTGGTATGGGACATGACAAGTGGAAAATTATGACGGGGAAATTCCAGGCCCACTGCTTTTTACGGATTGCTGATTTAAGGGATTTTCCTTTGACATCGATATGATCGAGTGGAGCTACGTCTAGACTGCTTAAATAATTTAGTTCTGATTTGTATGTACAACAGTTTTTTTGGGTGAAGTCATTCAAATTTAATTTTCAATAATGTTTGGTTCACTTTCCTAAGAAGTAGAAAAACTACCAATATCCCATCTTTCAATCAACAAGAAAACTTATCAGATGGGGTTTTTCCACTTTTCTGAAAGCAAAAACAGGCAACGCACATGCTTTATTCGTTTTTATCCTCCACAAACCGATTGCAAAAACTTTGCTTTGTCTACCGCGCGTTCAATATTGAAAATTACACCTTAATTAAGTGCTATGAACGCATTGCAAATGTCAATAAACCGCTTTCCCCGAAAAACCAATATCCTTTCGCACTTGTCGCAGTTTCCCCTTCCAGTTTCCACCTGCGCTAGTGCCTGTCTGCAAATTTGAACAAAAACAGTTTCAGTTGTTGTTGCGTCGCCATATTTGTCAGCCATTTGTGAATGTTTTTAGACCGCCCCGGCGCACACACAACTCCCACTTCCATGCCCACTCCAATTTCCACTTTCACCCACTTGGGTGGGTTTTTGTTCCATTTCCGTTATGGCAGGACGCATTCATTTTGGCGTCATCAAGGTTGCATGATGCGCTGGCAAAACGTGTCATCGGCACAACGATTCGTTCCGCCTGACAGTTGACAACTCCATCAAAAAGGTAAACTGATGGCCCGAAAAGGGGAGATTGGGTTTGGGTGGGTTTTATTGGGAGGCAGGTGGAATTACGGGCGCTGTGTGCGAGCAGGAACAGGAACCGCTGTTGAAGCAGCTCAATAAAATGTCATTTAATGCTGCTGTACGTGTCAGCGACAGTACAGTGAATTCTGTAGGGAATACCCCGATATTGATAAGCTAATGACGCATGAATAGTTTGAAAAGTTGACTATAAATGTTGGCATTCGGCTGAGTCCGCAATAAAAATTATCTTATTTCTGACTAAATTTTCGGGATTTGTCAGCGAATGATATTAGATAGTTATTTTAAAATAGCTTGTAAACTAGAACTGGGTAATTACCTTAAAAAATGTTTAATAAAACAAATGGACTAGGAAAAAAGGTATCTTATACTATAAATGCATTTAATAATAAATTTAAAAAATAAATAAATTCATTATAAAATAATTCTCTTAATTTTTACCATTACTGGTATCGTAATGTTTTGCTATTAATGTCTTTACTGTTGCTAAAACGGGAGTGTGTGTTCGCAATTGGATGATGGCCGGGCGTAATTGGCTTGTAATTGAAAACTTTGCGGATAATTAATTGCTGAAAGCTGCCTCACGACATTTATACGGTCTTAGTTGTGGT